TGCGCTGTATTCAGAAACTAGTCTTCAGAAACTATTTTGTTGTATTCAGAAACTGTGGGATTCAGAAACTATTTCATTGTATTCAGAGACTGTTTTCGTGGTATTCAGAAACTATTTCGTCGTATTCAGAAGCTACTTTGTCGTATATTCAGAAACTATTTCGTTGTATTCAGAAACTATTTTCGTGGTATTCAGAGACTATGTTCCTCGTATTCTGTAAAAATTGTGGGGTGGGGTGGGGGGGAATTGACATAGGTGGGTATTGCGTGAAAAGTTGATGATCTCCGTGAATATAGTGTTGGTTTTGCTCTTCGTAGTTTCCGAACATAATTAGTTTCTGAATACAACCGTCCAGTTTCCGAAAAAAAAAAATATAAATAAAAACATCACGTTTCCGGATACAACCGTTCCAGTTTCCGAATACAACCGTTTAGTTTCCAAATACAACCGTGACCTTTGGTGCATGCCCGGCCATTTTCCTAGCTGACAATCAAAGGGCAGCTAGCTACCCAACTGTGCCAGCAAGCTGGGATGGTATGTGTATAACTGCCGATGTGGTTTGCTCGGTTTACTGTTCAGCATCTCTTGCTGAATGGCCTCTGAAGACAAGTCTTAGTCCTAAAGTGCCAAATATCATTGCCGGGTGGTTCATGGGGAGAAGATGATTGTTGCTGGGGTTGGTGCAGGTTGTATGCCACAGAAGCCCAAAGATAGGCGAGGCACACACACATGGGGCAAAAAGACTAGGGGAGGACGCGGTGTAAAGAAACGGCAACACTGTTCCGGTCCAGAGACATGCATAAATTCAAAACAAGAGCCACTATATGACCTAATGAAACTCGTATATATATATATATATAGATCAATTATAGGCCATGATATTTATATATAACAGTATATATATATATAGAGATCAAATTTATATATGTCTCTCATTAGCCAAAGTTGTGCGGAGGAAAACTAAAACGTACTGGTACATAAACGTACGTTAAAAGAAATCGGTGCTCAAGTTGTTTGGTCTATAGTTTTCTTGGGTGTCAGTGTCAGTTTTCCAATCTACAAACACAAGTCACAAGTCTAAGTTTTGTATGATTAAACACCCAACTTTTGAGAGGATGACGACTTTGAGCTTTTCAACATGTGGGGTCACAATTTGGGGTGATCAGGTTCTCACTGAAGTCTACTGAAAACCAAAATCCCATGATTCTTCAACGTGGTCGAAAGCGGCCGTCTTTGAACCGCCCACGGTGTGGCCCACTGAGGCGATGCCGCGCGACTTGGCGGTTTGACCTGAGCGGCTGAAGCCGCCCAGGGCGGCAGGGACCTTCCAATATGGTGGTTTTGGAGACACCTTAACCTCTAAAGTGCTATTTATAGACACCTCTTGGAAGGTCCTGGTATAGAGTTCTTCAACTGGGATATATAGTCCAAATGGGTGTTGGGGGAGAAAAGCGGCGCTGGGGATCGGCGGTTGACCGCCGGTCGTTGGGCTACTCTGACGTTTGCAACACCAGATGGGCACGACTTGGTTCGCGATCCATCGATGACTCAAAGTCGTTTGCACTTTGCACCTTGGAAAATGGGACATGACCGAAACCAAAAAGAACAGGTCCATTGGAAGGTTTAGTGCATTGGAAGGTTTTACTTTCGTGTAGGTGCCACGGTGCCACGGTAGGTGTGACAAATCTCAACCAAAGCTGTGTCCTTTGCTCCAGAGAACCTGACCGATCTCGCAACTGGTACGAGTGACCGGAGACGTCGTTTCTTGGGCAGTTTCGTCAAGAGTTCTTCGGAGTTGCTCCTGACTGACGGACTGATCGAGCTGCTCGAGCTCAAGCACCTAAGTGGAACACTTCTATGTCTTTCCACACATAGCGACCTTTAGATCTTTCAAAAACCCCGAAGTCACGTGGATCAATGTGGATCACCTGAAAAAGCCTTTCTTTTGCCCAGGGGCATTGACTTCCCCACCAGACCCTGAAATCTCCCCAGTCGCAACCCTAAGTCGCATCCGAAGTCGCTATGAAGTTCGAAAACGAGGTCTGGGCGCAGTGGTTCCAAGCAGCAGGCGCAGGCGGAGCGAGCGATGGAGCGATGGGCACACAGATCGACTGCGTCGTGGTGGTGGTGGTCGTGGCGGTGGACCAAGTCAACAATGGAAATGTATGGAAATGTGCTGCGCAACCATTTTTGGTGCAATCCACAATCTAGGAAAAGACCCCATATCTCCAATTTTCCCATCCCCGACCGTCTATCCGTGGTCATACTTTGTGTGGTCTGAAACCGCAAGGACACCCACCCGGATCAACCCTTGGTGGATCCCGGTCTTCACTCTGCAAGGAACCTGGGTTTCTCTAGGTCTATGGTGTTCCTTCAGAACCATTGGTGACTGTACAGTGGGTACCTGGATTTGCTGGGGTGTTCCGAGTTGCAAAGCTTGATCTTTCGCTCCCCAGGAGAATCCACGGCCTGCCAATGTGCCGCCGCTTGAGTCGCAGCGGAGCGTATTACGGGGCGTCGACGCAGAGGAACCTCAAGGCTTTAGTTTGGCTGGTGCGTGCACGTGAATCTCAGATACCCCAAACACTGTCAGTTGATAACCATTAACCTTCCCTGAGGATCGAAAGTTAGCTCTATATGCTAACATTTGGGGTTGTGTCTTCTGGGGCTCTCCGACCTCACCCTGTGAGGTCCGACCTAAAAAACGAGATCATACCAGAACCATCCAGAACCCAAAAACCACAAAACCACAGAACCCAAAAAAACACAAAACCAACGATCCCAAATTCAAATTCGTCACGGGTTGTCACGCTGGAGTCCGACAATGACCTCATTTTTAAAGGGACAAAATAGACCAATCACGGTCTGTCACGGTCTGTCACGGTTCGTCACGCCCTGGTATGCTTGGTTCTTGGGATTTCATGGTCTTATCCTCCAACAATGATACTGGAATTGTATATACATTTCAGGTACCCCAATCTGTGATTCGACAACGTCTTCAAATAACACGATCAATAGAAACGTATGCATATCCTGGGATCATTTCTATTTGTGACCTATGCATGGTCATGGATCGTCAGGGCTTTCTTTATCTTTTTTTTTGGGGGGGGTCCTCGCAAAAATCCAACAGGTGGAGTTTGTTCGGTTAACCTTTATTTTCCAGGGTTTTCTAGGGAAAGGGCTCGGAAGTCAGGATGGAATGACAAACTTGTCTGTCACCCTTCGATCAAAAGATGGGGTTCCAGGGTTGGCGCTTGGTCAGCTTCGGAGTAGAAAGGAACCCAGGGACCCAGTGGTTGGCAGATGTTTTATTGGCATGCGGCATATATCATAGACCTTGCTTCCCGTGTTCAGGACTTGGGTTTCAAAAACATGCATTCCTTGCTGCCCCTCTCCCTCATTTTAAGGCTGTTAAGGTTTTGTTAAGGTTTTCTATTCAAAATGCCTGGCCCTGCACGCAGAAATGCGAGGGTGTTTGCTATCCCAGACCATCCATGTATAGTTACCTACATTGGGGTCATGAATAGGGTACGTACATGTATGTAATCATTCCGGTCTGGGTATGAAAGACCAAAATGGCCTCTCGAACGGGCGTCTGAGCCTGCGACTTTGCCTAGGCCTCAAGATGTAGGCTGCTCACACCCCCTTCAGTCCGACTTGTAGATACGTTGCAGAAACAATGATGATGCAACGCAACATAATATGGCAACCTTGAACCCAGACATGACCCCTGTTTTGACCGGAAAAGACCTTATATTGAGATATTTTGGCTGGTCGCACCACTGGTTGGTGGTCCAAAATAGAGATCATTCAGGTTCTAGGAACACACAGTCATATGCACTCATACTCTAGGCTCTACAGGCCATTTTACAGCAAAGAACCGACACCTCAGGCTTTGGTTCCGTGAACCAAACGCCACAACACCGGGCTTCTCACCATGGCCCGGACGAGGTCCAAAGCATGGTGGTTCTCCGACGACCCGGGACCATTCTCGCTGCTTTGCGCCCGGAGCCGAAGGCAGATCGCCCGTTGCTTGGTGGGTTTTTGGTTCAAAAGCGGGGGACCAAGACAGGACCCTCAGAAGGCCCTGGCTATATGTATGGCTGTTCTGTCCAAAGACTCGTTTTTGTTCCACCTCCTTGAGTTAGGTGTTTTTAATGACCAAAATGCGCGCATGCCGCATGGAGCCTGAGGACTTCAAAAGCTGAGGGTTCCGAACAAACAGGTCCCGACTCATCTGGGTACGATATATAATGCTGTGATGCGGTATGATGCCGTTGAATTGGGGGCCAGATGCTTGTTGTTTTTTTTGTTGCTGCTGCTGCTGCTGCTGGTGTTGTTGTTGTACCTTGTTGTTGTACCCTTGTTGTACCTTGTTGTTGTACCCTTGTTGTACCTTGTTGTTGTTGTTGTTGTTGTTGTTGTTGTTGTTGTTGTTGTTGTTGTTGTTTTACGCACAGGCGGGGGCGAGATGAGAGGTCAAGTTGGTTGGTGGGCAGTTTGAAGGAGCGAGGCAGTCAGAAGGGTTTCCACATGCATTTGGGACAGGTTCGACTGTGCTTGCAGGTTATGACGCGGGGGCCGCGGGGGAAGTTGCACGTGATTTGGACCAATCGAGCGGTTGAGGTCATGTCTGGAACCATCTTGTACCTATTTTCCGTACTTTGAGACTCCAGGAATCTGTCAAAACATCTTCTAAGATGTTCTAAGAAGACCTGGTATTTCAATTTGTATACTTGTATGATCTTTGTACCCATTCCCTACAGGGATCCAATCGTATCTTCTCAGGTTCGGTACGGAGGCCCTGCTGCCGAGGTCTCCGCCCTCGGCAGCGACGTGGGGGGCCCGGGGCGGCATCGATCTGGGAGTGATCAACCCGGGCCCCACACTCGAAACGAAGGTACATGGAGACCAAACGGGAAGCAGCGAAGGTGGGAGTTGGTTCCAAAACGGTTTTTGTCACTGAGGATACTTCGCCACGCCTTCAAGTTTGAGACGAGTTGGAAAGAAGTTGTAAGCGTCCCAGTCCCACTGAATGGATTATTATGGATTATTGTTTGCCTCCTGGATATGAATCAGAAGAAACTCATCATTGGGGACTAGTCTTTGGGAGGATGGCTAGCCGCGGCTAGCCCGTTGTCATCCATCCACGGACTCTGCAAAACACTCCAGGACCCGAAACCTCCCAGAGCTCTGACTTTCGGTGGCAGATCTCCGAGTGTTGGGCTGATCTGCTGCAGACAGCCTGGCAGGTGTTCGGGTCCTGGTAGGTGTCGGGTGGCAGAAGGTTAGATGTGAAAGAAACAGAAGGGATGGTGAACTCCTGCGATGGAGTTTCTCTTCAGCCTCTTCTTCGCATGGCGAGCTGCGCAGCTGCCGCGCAGCTGGCGCGTGCGGAGCGGATAGACATCCAACGAGGTGCGAAGGGTCTCTGACAGACGTTAGAGTGCTTGGGGACAGAGTTCGTCCAACGGTGGCGGTCGATGGTCCAACGTACGTAGCTCCTGAGATGGTGCAACTTGGACTTTTTTGCAGGGTCTCTGACTATCCCTAGGGATCCAGTCGTACCGAACCTCAGAAGGCACGACCGGACCCTCCACAGCCACTCCAAACACATTCTGAGAAGGTACCACTGGATCCCTAGGGTATACAAGTGGTCTACAAGTCGTTGGGGGTCTACAGACTATATCACAGAGCCATCAAGGTCGACCATCGACCTGAAGTCTTCTATCTAGGCTTCGCGAGCCTTGGTACGCCACACGGACCGCCTCCATGTGTTCGTGCCGCTCGCCTCAACTCGCCACCCTGCGTTCGCCAGGTGTAGATGAGTGCGTTATATATATCGATGAGTTTTCCCATGTGTTCCACATCTGAACCTGACATAACCTGACACATCCACGGTTTGTTCAGAGGCGATATATATATATATATATAGCGACTCCCTACATCAGCCACACCTGGGCGGATAAAAAAGCAGCCACACCGACGGCTGTCTCGGCCAAGGTCGATGTGACACATCCGTATGGGGTCCGTATGAGGCCCAGGGCCGGCCTAAATGGTAGGTCGTTTTCGACCTCCCCAAACCCGCAAAACGAAAGGGAGCCGGTCGGGGCGCCACCCCGACCACGAACGATCTTGGTCTTGGGGACCGAAGAAAACACGTGGTAGAGACTTCCTCGAAGAACGTGGAAGTGGAGTTCACCCCCCTGTTGAAACATTTGGAATATGGATGCAACAGGTGTTTTTCCCTTCGGGGCCAGGCCGTTCCACAGCCGTGTAGTAGTCCAGGGAGTGCAGTTGCGGTCGCTCCGGGGCCCTTGAATCGACCAGATCTCGCTGATCTTGCTTTAGCAGCTGCGGAATGTGTGGAGCACGCGCCAGCAGGCGGGCGGCCGTGGCCGTACCCGGTGCCCGGGTCTCCAAGGGTGTCCAAAACCGCACATCCCAGTCACATCCGCCCTTTTCTGAGGCGACTCTGGACACGAACCAACTGCCAGGTGTTGGTGAAGCTCAACCTGCAATATATTACGCTAGTGACGTAGTGGGGTCTTCAAATACAGAACCCACCTGGCGCACCCAAAGGCTCCCTGAGAGCTATGCGTAGCTATACCAGGCTTGTTGAACGAAACCGCCCACCAAGAAAAAGAGCATGAAAACAACAAACTGAAAAACAACTATTTATCCCAAACAATTTACATCGGGCTGTTTTCGGGGGTCAATGCTGGTATATGATGTTCCATGAAGTGTTGAGGTATTGGAACACTAGAGTCTCAAAGTACCTGGGAAAATTGTTACTTTTGTAACTGCTCAAATATCCTTGAATTGGACTTCTATCATGGTCGTGTGTACCGGGCGCTCATGCACGACCAAAGATCAGGAGAAGAACTTATCCCTTGTGGCTTTGGTGGCTGCTCCAAATGAGCTGTCCTCCCTTGGGGAAAAGACTGATGGCACTGTGCCTATGACGCCAACTCAGGTACCAGCCACAACAACTGATAAGATTGTAAGACTTGAAATGCAAACTTTGCGCATCGCTCAATACCTTCTCTTAGGTTGGGAGAGGATTACCTACAACAAATCCAATCAAATCCATGTACTGAGAGAAAGAACATGAAACAAACTGGATTACTGGTAATTCCAAAACAAACAACTGGTAACACAGGTACCTCTATAGAATGATTTCTGGATCCCACCTCTGGACCTCCTCTCCAAATCAGTGGAAAAAATCACCTCTTTGGACTGAACAAATCGGTAGGCAGGAAACACCAACCCCTAGGGATTCAAGTACCTTCTCAGGTACGGTGGGACTGGGGTGGCTGTGGAGGGTCCGGTCGTGCCTTCTGAGGTTCGGTACGACTGGATCCCTAAGGTATACAAGTGGTCTACAAGTCGTTGGGGGTCTACAGACTATATCACAGAGCCATCAAGGTCGACCATCGATCCCTAGGGAATGAATGGCACGTCGTTTCTTCAGCTCTCGGCCGGGAGTCAGGCACGGCGTTGATGCAGTGCGTGGCCCAGCGGAGTCCAGGGCCCAATTGGTGGCTGCCGAAGTCCATGTATCCGGGCCGGATCCCATAGACAGACGAACCCAGACATGACCTCTGTTTTAAAATAGGAAGTTGGACCAGGTGACTTGAAGACTTGGCTCCAAAACAGGGGTCAATCAGCTTCTAGGGATAGCTTCGGGGTTCGAGACGACTGGATCACCTCCCCAAACTGCGACCCGACGCGTCGTTCGGACGCAGGACGGGTCGAGTGTGACGGTTTTGGTGTCTTGGGACGCTCACAGGACACCCAGATGTTGGATGGTCCAGGTACCACGTACTTTGAGACTCTTTCCTCTTGCGTTCGCCGATGACGGTTGTCTGTGGCCGCTATGCACTAAGATTCCGAATTAACACTGGACAGTCTACTTTGAGACTCCAAGAACATACCCTGGAAGAGAAGTGGAGCACCTGCCAGGGCCCAAGGTTTCGCTGAATGGACGCCCCTTAAACCTCAAAGGGGCTATTAGACACCCCGAAACGGGGGATCACCTGCAGTCATTCTTTTGAACAGATTGGTTTCCTCACTCCAAACCAAAAGCAGGACCTTCCAAGACGTGGTTGTTGGCCAACCCTCAGCCTCTAAGTCTAAGGACTAAGGAGGGTCCTGGCATGGAGCGTTTGGGCATGGTGTTGGCCAGTCTATCCCCTCGCCTGGCGAGGCACTGCCCAAAAAGATACGATGTTCATGTGATTGAGTCAAGTGGATCACACCTCCAAAACTTGAGTTCGGATCCTGTTGGGCACCATACCGACACATCACCTCGTGGGTGGCTTTTGTTTGGTCGGTAGTTCAAGGGTTACCTTTATTGAGGTCTCCGAAAATAAAGATTTGCTTAAACAAGAATAGAAACACGTTTGGAAAACACACAAACACTGTGGCTCACCAATAAACATTCTTAGCTTGTGTATAAAATCCGGTGGAATATCAGAAAACATCAGAAAACTAGAGAAACATCTGCAGACTCAAATATGAGGCTGCGACTCCAAAAGATGTTTTCACGCCGCGGATCGATAACAAGCAGTCGGAAGTTGCAAGTATATTTATCAAGTCCTTGGGGGAGTTCCTCTTTTTTGAAGTGCTTTGTGGACACCCCACAAAGACAAGCACAGGTGGAGCTCCTTTGCAGTCTCAGTCCACTCGGCCAGTCTCACCGATCGAGCACCGACCGTGCGAGGTCCGGCGACACCGGCTGCACCGGGCCGAGGTATGACGAGGCGCTGCGCAACGCCAGTTGCACCGCCGCCTCTGGCAGCATCCCCCTGCAAGTGGAGCAGCCTTGCACCAGTTGCGGAGAAGGCGCGCGCGCGCGTGAGTTTTCACGCGCGGGCCACCAGTTGCGGAGGAAGGTGCATGGAAGAAAAAGGGTTTGATGTTTGAACCAGTACCTGTTCACTTATTTGGTGCAGGTGATTAGATCTGACTGTAGATGAGCTCTCTCACCACTAGGCCCTGCAACACCCCTCGATGCTTCGCTTGTCCGGGTTTGATCGGACTTGGAACAATACATGAATAGATTCCCTTCCAAAAGATCCAAAGATCTGCAATTAGTTTAGGAAGTGCCCACCAACATCCAGAAACTATTCCACGCAGGATTCCTTTCATCATGGTTGTTTCAATGCAACTGGTAGTAGCAAACAGAGAGCAACATGTGCGTTTGTGAAGCCAACCCGTTTGCAAGCGGTTGACTTTTGTTTTGCCGAACGGTTGACTTTTGTTTTGCCGAGCGGCTGGGAAAACATGAGAATTTCGATAGACTAAGTTAAGTAAGGTAAAAATTAGGATTGTTTGGCAACTCTCAGTTGCCGAACGGTTGACTTTTGTTTTGCCGAACGGTTGACTTTTGTTTTGCCGAACGGTTGACTTTTGTTTTGCCGAACGGTTGACTTTTGTTTTGTAATGGTAAAAAAACGCTATAATAATGCAGCAAAGAATCGCCAAGCGACATGCCAAACCACGCTTCTGGCCATCACTGAACCTCAAGCTGTCTTCTTGAAGAACAGAGTCTCGGGCCACCAAGATCTCACAGGAGTCATAGCCTCAACAAAGAAACAGTCTTGACAAGTTCTTGAAAACAACATATCAACAACACTTTCAACCATCATAGGGATTCATCATGCCTGACAAGAGGAGCAGTACTATGAGTGCTACTGTGAAGAGTTCTGGACAACTAACAGCAAAAGAATTGTTTAGACACCAAAAAGTTAGCATGACTGTGGCTGAAGCCAAATAACATCATGTTAGAACGGAACCCAAGGTCGTTTAAAAACTACCCAAAAGAATTTGCGTGCTCAAAAGCATTTGGTTGGAATGGGAAGGCAAATCAACCCAATGGCATGCAAACATGGAGGAAAGAATTCTGAGGTCCATGCCTTTGTAGATGATGCTTTTGCAAATTGAAGCCACCTTCCACGCTTCTGATTCACCAGACCACAAAGATGAAGCTTGCAAGCTCCAGTGGAATGGTTGAGGTCCCAGTCTCCCCATCTTGAAAAGAACGTGGGGCGAAGAGCTCTGCTGGATCCATTGGCAACCCCAACTTGTTCACGATGGCGCCGACTTCATCTTGGCCCTTGTTGAAACGCAAACAGGTGACCGGTGGACTGACAAACAGTTTTTGGATATATGCGACAGGTGCCTTTGGGTGGCAAATTTGCGCGCTGGCTTTTGGACCCGCTGGGCTTGCTGGAAAGAAATTTGCTGCCTGCTAGATGATTTGCCAAAGGATCCAGGTAAAATGTCAATAGCTTTGCTGAATGGTGCTAAGTAGAGGCTAGGCCGTGGCTTTGGGGTGGCAAGTTTGTGTCACGTAACATCATTCAAGTACCTGGTGGGCTCTTGGAACCTTTGGGCTTGCTGCAAAAGTTTTGGTTGTACATTCATGTGCTGTACATGTAGCAGTAGATCGCCATTGAAGCACCTCAAAAAAACATAAAACACTTAACCAAATCACTGGTGTCTATTGTGTGTGTTTGTTTTTGGTTTCTTGATGTTTTGGTTAATGAAAGTCAAAACCCTCGAGCAAACAACTGCAGCTCAAGAATTAAATAAGCAAAGAATTGCGCGCGTAACCAAATTTTCAGAAACACTAAACACAGCACCAACTGAGTCTGCTGTCCTGCACTGGGCCCAGGTGAGCTTGTCTCCAAGTTTGGTACCACGAGTTGAACAGCCAAATCGTCAGTGAATGAAAACAACCGTTGCAGTTGCATGCATGGATCATGCACTTGACTGTCTTAACTGTTCACTTGTTGACCTCAAGGTGTGCAGCATAAAATCAGCACATGAAGCAAACATGTCCCTGGTTCATTGTGGCTCCTTGTGTGGATACAAACAAGCATTAGAGATATAGCCATGGGCAATGAGATCATGTGTTTAGCTAGTGGCCATGTAGCAACAACTTCAATTCAACCAACTTGCCCTTGCGGTGGCCATGGGACATGAGAAGGCAGAAACGAAGAGACAGATCAAAAGGAGGTTGGCTTGATAGAAAAACAGCGATGCTGAAGAAAAGACTCTTGGAACCAAATGTTTTGCTTCACCTGCTTGTTGTGTGGTCTCAACTGCATGTACTGCTGTTGCTGAATAAAGCCTTGCTAAGGACAAAGACATTGAGCATACAGAATCAAGACCTTCAAATGAGGTGTGTCCTGGCAATCGCTTGTTCAACAACGGTGAAAATAACTTTGAACACATCAGGAAGGAGCAGCTTCTGGGTCAGAAGTGTCAGCTTGAGACGTGGAACCTGTGCTGCAACTGCAAGCTGAACATTTGCCATTGAACTAGTTACTTGTTTGATGTATATTTGTTTTATTGTCCTGTGTGCTTGTTGTGATGTGTTTGCTTTGCTGCTCTTAGGAACAAGTGGTCGGCGCAAGCATGCAGAGGGCCTTCAAGAAAAGACTCTTCTTTTAAGGCAGTCTCAGAAAGGCACAGTTTCAGAACTAGCGTCTAAACACCAGTGTTAGGAATGAAGCAATATGCATAGCAGAATATGTTACACATGCCCAATTTGTGAAACAGAGGAGGGTCCTGGACTCCAGGACCCTCCAAATACAACTGTTAAGTACAACTGTTCAGGTGTGTGTGTGTGTGTGTGTGCGTGTATAAGCCAAGTGAGGAACCAGCAGCTGGAAACTGACAAGGCACAGCTTGGGTGTTGGACCCTGGGCTGCCAACGATGCAATTCATAATGACAAGTCTTGCATTAGCAAGTGTTTTTGAGTTTTGGCTAATCAGGAACCAATGGTGGTAGGAAAGGTTCAAAGAGTTCATAACATTTGTTACGTAGGAACCGCGGCTGGAAGGATCGCAGTGAACGCTTTGAGAGAGAGAGAGATGCTGGGAAGAAATGGAGCTTGTGTGAAATTCACAGTGCCGTTTTGCTTAAACAGAATGATTTAAAGTTGAGGAAAAATGAGCAGGAGAAGCAGCCTCTTGGCTCCAATGCATGTTGAAAGTGCACCATGCTTGCTTATACAAGCTGCTCCAAACAGTCACAATGCTCAGGAAAAGAGCTGCTATTGGTTTCGCCAACTACCGGGGGGAGGTCCTTGAGAACTTTAAGAGGCAGATGGTAGCTCAGGCATGTTGAAGCATCATACTCTGGTGAGTTTTTTGTTGTTGTGATATGATGGTTTAAAGCAGGCAAAGGCAGCTTCTGCCCCATCGAGCAGTTCATCCAAGCAAGCTTCAGCTAAGTGTGCACCATCCAGCAGTTCATCCACCTCATCAAGCTCATCGACCTCGTCACAATCCTGTGTCCTCACCTTATTTGGTATGATATGATGTTGACACTGATGTTGACCTCTTCGGTAGTGTGGAAACTCAGGTGCCTCCCCCGAAGAAGAAGCGATGAGAAAGAAGAAGAATAAGCGATGAGAAAAAACATTGAGCTGCTGCCACTGCTTTTGAAGAATGGAGCATGTGAAGCAACAGCATTGTTACACACTGGTGGTTTTGGTTCTGTGGAAGACTTGGCCCCTGAGGTTTGGACCTCTCTTGAACCTATTGGCACCTGAGACCAGGCTGGAGCATGTGAAGCAACAGCACTGTTACATGTTGTTCTGGTGAAGACTTGGTCCCTGCTGAGTGGTTGTTCACACTTGGTGTGATGACCTTAGTGACGTCGTGGCCTTAGTGACGCCGTGACCTTAGTATGCTGTGACCTTAGTGGCCTTAGTTTACATGCTTGTATTTTAGACATACGCATGGAAGCCTGTAGCTACCAGAAGCCAAAGCCACTGCAATCCTAAGAGGAGGTCATCTAGTAAAGAAAAAAGCACACTGCACACCAACGCCACTCAAACCTTTTGAGTGCAGGGCCATGGAAAGCTCATGCGCGATCACGTTCACCCATCCCCCCCAAAAAAGAGGCGGCGCTTGTGCAGCGCATCCCACTTATTCAGCGGGCGCCTTGTCTTACTTAGTTTTTTCCTGCCTGGGCCTTAGTGTGTGAGTAGGTTTTGGTGGCCAGGACCCACTCCAACCTTAGTTTCTTGCAGCGGGTCCTCGTGGCCAGGAGCCACCAAACACCTCCCTGACAGGCAAGAGCATGGGTGAACATGAAAACCACATTTTTTGTTACAATAGAAGAAGAATTAACATAAGTAGGGTGTGCAGCCCTTATTTACAAGTTGAATACTAAGACTTACCAAGACTGCAATAAAAACATAGAATAGATTTGAGAAACTCAGAATGAAAGGCCACTTCTTTACTGCTCAAACGTTGAGAAGCAAACTGTTGGCTTTAAGGTTAATGCTGATCTGATGTCCTTGCTCTGCTGGCCCTGACGGTTCATGGTTAGAAGTGATTCACATAGTTCACAAGATATGACTGGTTAAACTGGTTACTTCCAAGTGGTTCATAATGTTGTTGACTTCAGGCCTCAAAGATTTCCAACACGGATGACCTAAGTGGCGCATACGTTTGTGACCTCAGTGCTGGATTTGAACTGTGAGGGCTGGGGTCCTGGTGTGAGAGTCAGTGCGTGTGATTGTTAGCAGTTTTTGCTGTTTTGCTGTTTGCTGTGCAGAACTTTGGGCCAGAAACTCGAGACACTGATCTTGGAAACTTATGATTCTTTCTTCACTCATGCTGTGGCCTGTCAGGTAGGTGTATTTTTGACACTGATCTTGGAAACTTATGATTCTTTCTTCACTCACGCTGTGGCCTGTCAGGTAGGTGTTTGGTGGGTCCTGGCCACCAGGACCCACCAGAATGAACCGGCAGCACTGAGGTCAAAGACATTTTTTAACTAAGATTTGTTGTTGCACCAATTGCAAAAACCTGTGATCCCAAACTCAACAGCATCATTTGAAACATGTTTCTCCAGAAAGACTTGAAAACATAAAAGCTCAATGCCAGGGCCAGAGCAGTGCAAGGACTTCGCATTAGCACAAGCCTTAAAGCAAACACTCACTTACTAACTACTATCAACAGTTGCATCAATCTGCACTGCATAAAGCAATGTACTTTTTCTAGTGGCAGCAGCTTATGTTAAATAATTTGTGCACTTTTGCTATGGCCTGTCAGGTAGGTGTTTGGTTGGTGGGTCCTGGCCACAGCAGTCCTTTGCACCTTAGTATGTAGGCCCCGGTGTCCAGGGCCCACCCAAGCTGCAAACCTTAATAAGACAGTGTTTATCCAACACATCCCACAGTAGTTATTCCATGAACAAATGAAAAGGACCCTCCCAAAACACTGATGCCTCAGTGGCTGATGATTGGGGACTCTCCACAGTGCTTTATTTACATGTCCTAAAACGATGGTACATTTTGAAGTAAAGTTGATGGAGTAAATAAGAAAGTGCTTATGCAGCACATCCTACTTATTCGGCGGGTGTCTTATTTACTCCATCAAAAGATGAAAAGGGCACTCCCACCCAAAGAATCAAAACACCAACAACATATGAAAACACCATTTTCCATGACAGTGGCTTGTTGCTGTTCAAAGTGGCTTAAGAGACTGCAAGTCTTCTTCAGAGGGAGGAAGGGAGGGAGGCTCAAAGTTGAAGGCTCCGATGTGACTTCTAGAGGGTTTCAAACCAGTATCAGACCACCCGAGAGGACAGGTTCGGGACAGTCTGTTTTGAAACAGATTTAAGCAAAGTGAAGCTTTTGCTCTACGTACGTATCATGGAAAGGGGTCATAGATGATGTCAAGTTTGTCATTTTACACCTGCACCCTGGAAATTCAAGGGTCATTGTCTAAAAGCGGATGTTTGATGCGGCCCTTGCGCCGCGTCATTCCATGTGGGGTCTGTAAGTGAGATGCGTACGGGTCTACCGGATAATGAAGGCTCGCTTTTAAATAGGTACCATTACGGTCGTAATTCGGTGCGTCCAATAGTACCTAATTGCGGCCGTAGTGGTACCTAATTACAAACTCCTCTTCATGCACCCACTCCATGTGCTCCAATAACTTCCGATGACCATCAGTGACCATATCACTTTTGCAGCTCCACATGCGTTTTGTGCTGACTGTTCGGAACTTCAGGTTTATGAACCAAAAATGTAAGTTCTGAATCTTTTTGGAAGCAAAGTGGAACCACGGATGTGGTACAATGCTCAAGAATCTGAGATGAGGGGAGGGAGGGAGGGAGGGAGGGAGGCTCAAAGATGGGACTTCTAAAGGGTTTCAGACCAGATCACCCGAGAGGATAGGTTCGGGACAGTTGTTTTTGAAACAGATTTAAGCAAACTGAAGCTTTTGCTCTACGTACGTATCATGGAGAGGGGTCATAGATGATGTCAAGTTTGTCATTTTACACCTGCACCCTGGAAATCCAAGGGTCATTGTCTAAAAGCGGATGTTTGATCGCAAGATTAAACAATTGTGCCGCGTCATTCCATGTGGGGTCTGTAAGGGAGATACATACAGGGTCAACAGGATAATGAAGGCTCGTTTTAAATTAGGTACCATTATGGTCGTAATTCGGTGCGTCCAATAGTACCTAATTGCGGCCGTAGTGGTACCTAATTACAAACTCCTCTTCATGCACCCACTCCATGTTCTCCAATAACTTCCGATGACCATCAGTGACCATATCACTTTTGCAGACCAACAAGAGCAGCGCGCGATCTCTCTCTCTCTCTCTCCCCCTTTCTTTGTCTTTGTAGGTCCTTCAAATTTGAACTTAATACGTATTTAAAAGAAAATATGTTTTTTGACAAAAAGAGAGTCTAGAAATAAACTATTTTCCAAAAAATAGAGTCTACTTTCTTGGTTGAATATTTCTTAACGCAGATAGAAGCCGTTCTGTGCTAACGCGTGATGTTCTTCTCTGACCTAGCAGTCTTGCCGTTGCCTCAAGTCAAGTGCTACGTAGTCACCATTAGTCACCTAAAGTGCTAACCTGCATATTCCCAACTGATTTAGCTCTTGCAACTATCTAAGTGTTGTGGTTGTGTGCTGTGGGTATGTTTTTGTGTTTGTGTGTTGTGGTTGTGTTGGTGATTGCATGTGTGATGGTGTTTGGGGTTGTAATTGTGTTTGTGTGTTGGTTGAGGTCCGGCAGCGCCCAGTGCGCTCGGGAGCTGGCGGTAGAGGTCCGGCGGGGAACGCTGCCATCCTGCACTTGCGGTTCAGGTCCGGTGGGGAACACTGGCAGCCGTTAAGGTCCGGCGGGGAACGCTGCCATCCAGAACTTCTGGTTGAGGATCACACGATCAACGAGGTACCGACGGCAGAAAGAGGGTGGTATAGGGCAACCTGCTGGGAAGTACAGGGTAGACTGGTCTATTTCATTCCTTCTGAAAAGGTGATCGTTGCTGGGTCCTGATTTTAAGCCCACAAGCGCATGAGTGGGGGTCAAACCAGGGGACCTTGATTGACCATGACGACCAAACATGAACAGAAGAGACTACCAGACATGGTCAACCTACCAGGGTTTGGGGCTTTAGGCTTTAGGTTTTAACCCACAATCGCATGACTGACTCGAATCCTGTGCCAGACAAGACGGAGAAGTCCACCGTCGAGGCAAGGGTGTCGAAGAGGAGTTTCACAGAGTTATATAGTCGCCAACAAGTTGTTGGGACTTGAATCGTTATATACCCTCTAGCCTTCCAAGGCCGTTTAAACATTTTTAAACAATTGTTGACCTGGCCTTGCAGTGTAAATGCCCTTGCTAAAACAATATGGTTCTTCGGGACTGAGGCGATTAAATCAATGGTGGGCCAGCAAGCGCACGGTATATATACCTATATTAGGGTCATAAATTCGGTATATGTTTACAACTCTTCCTGTGTTTGCCGTGTCTTGGGTGAAATGCCACATGAATCGGGATCTGACTTGTTGTCACCTGCTGGTGTCCCCTCTTTTCGCCGGCCCGTGGAATGAGTTCTGTTTGCGTTTTGACATCTCTGCCGGGAGATGAAAACAATTTGTTGGCTGGTCGGTTCCCATATGGTCCACCTGCATACAACAAGTGCTTTGCCAGCTCCTATGATTCGCGGGAACCCCTCAAGTAAATGACTCACGACTGAACCTCTCCATCCAAGCTACCCTTGAATCTCATCTAGCCTTCTCAACTGATGCAAGCCCTTGGAACAGCGTTTTGAACACCATGTGTTCTTTAATTGTTGCATCCTGGAAGAAGCGCTTCTGACACCTTCCGGCAGAGGAACCAGGCACTGCGAACATTGCAAGGTCCATGCCACCCCTTTTATTGCGGAAAAAAACCATGTGAGCAAGGAGATAGACGGAGAGACGAGCGCTAAACGGTATCAAGGGATGAAAGAAGTGGCCGCTGTGGCTTTACAGAAGGAGCTCTACTATGATCCGAAGACTGGACAAGAGGGAGTTCAATTTTTGGACTATTCTGCACTTGGCCTTCGAGTTCTTCCAGGGTGCGGTGGGGAGCTTGCGCCGCAAGACGCGCGCACCAACCGCGAGGCATGTTTCCTGGTCATCCTCCTGGCGGAGACGATTCTGCTGCGTCACGTCCCTGGGTGGGTGACTACTTTGAACATTCCCGTTCGCGGAGTATCTGGGAGTTTATCTGACTTTGGCCAATGCCGTCAAATGATGATGGCAGTGTGGCCAACCTTGTGCTTCATCCAACCAAGGTTCTACACCTCATCACAGAAGTGTCCCGCCACCAGGGGCCGGTCTTGATCCATTGCAATTCCGGACACCACCGTTCGGTGCTGGCTGTGGCGATTCTTGGCTATGTCCTTGCGAGGCATGGGCGTGAGCGTTTTGGGGATCTTTCTGCACAGCTTTAATAGCATCACCCGTGCTGGGGAGATCATATGGGAAATTTGTGGCCCAGAGACAAAGGTTGCTCGGATCCTCTTATTGGTGATTGGCTTCATGCTACATGAGGTCGTGCCATCTTGCACGCTGGCTGGCCAAACGGGAGATGAGTGATGAAGAGGTGTTGCCTTTGCTGTCCGGGAACAAGGCTGCCACAAACCCCCACCCAAGTGTTTTCTGCCTGATCGTATCTTTAGGCGTCGCATCGTGAATAATTATGATGGCCCGATTCTTCACAAACCAGCCCTGTAGTTTCACTATCTCTTTTGTGAATGGTGAAGACTTCACAAACAGGTGCTTCGTTTAGTTGTATGGAGGTCACAAATGCGAATTGGCCGGTGTATCGCCAAGGATGGCATTGTTTGACATGGCCGTTTGCCCTGGCTGGGCGCTCTTCACAATTCCAACCGTTTCAGATTCCACTTGTGAAGATCCAACATCGAAACATAATGAAACATATCAGTCATTGGGAACGCGGTTAGTGCTGGGATGATGCGATCGTGGTTCTAGTGTGGCGATGATGAGAGTTCATCGTGGCTTTATACTTGGTTGTCGCAACAAAAATCAATTTGACCAAGTGTAAAAGACATGAGGAGATGATGGGTTTTGGGTGGGCCTAAACAGCGCTACCTGTTTCGGAAGGCTCCGCAGCTCGAGCGGCCGGCGCAAAAGCTCAGTGCACGAAGTGCATGCTGACCATATCTTCCAGGCTGAACAATACTTCTTGAATGAGCGAGCCATCGGCGTCAAAGAAGAAAATCGAGTCTGTGTGCTTACAAAGACTCATTGTCATTGTTTTTCAATGACGCCTCCGCATAGTATTCATGTACTGTGAAGACAAGCGCAGGGTTTTGCCTGCCACTGTCAAGGGTGAACGAGTACGCCTACCGCAAGTGGCTGCGATGGTATCACCACAGCAGATGATCTCACCCGCAGGAAGAAATCGATTTTCTTTTCACTGATTGACAAGAAATTGGATGAACTTTTGGCGACCTTTTGGAGCATGCAGATCATGCGCGCTTCTCTCCGCCAATTTAAATTATTGCAAATGGAATGTTGAGTCAAGCTATTCATTAGACTGCTGGAGAGAGTCAAATTTAAATTTTGGCATCAGAGCGAAGAGCTGATGTTCCTTTCAATTTGTTTTCTGCAGCTGGAGCGGGATATTATGGAAACAAGGTCTCAAACGACAACGAGTCTGGAGAAAACAACCATTGCACGGATTCTTGACAAGCGGATGCGACGTAGACCACATCACTCAACCTGCTGTTTTCTCTCATATTCAAGTGAGTGACGCTACTGAAACAAAGCACAGAATTGATATGTCCGTCCTTCCACGTTGTGAGAACCCAGGGTCCCACCATGTTTGCTTTCCCAATATATTCAGCGTCAGTCTCGACAGGTGAGAGAAGACGAACACTTCGTTCCAGATGCCACGCGTGAAGTTTGATGGATTTGATCTTGGTAAACGGTAAACTTGAAGGGACCTTCCAACATCGAACTCATTGTTGGGAAGTGGTACGTGGCATTGACTATTTCTATCTATTTCATGGCATGTGGTTCTCTGCTGCAAAAGGACACTCACTGTGCACTTCAACCTCTTGCGTTTAGTAAGTTTAGTATGAACTACATCTTGGTGTCCAAGCCATGATGGGGGTTGAGCTTCAGTGCGTCCATCGTTCACAAACATGACCTGAAACATATTCAAGGGCGCACCAATCGCACCACACATGTTCACCGCACAAACCCATGACCAGTGGCGGCCCCACCGGCCGGCATGTGCCAGATCTACCGGCCGCCGCCGGATCCAGTGGTCCTCTGGAAGCGCTTCGCATCGCCCCATGAATGCGACGCGTTGCCGCTGGGATGAGCACGCCCGGACCGCTGGACGGCGGGAATCGCGGAACTAAGACTGTTTTCTGGTCTCCTAGTCTCGGAAGTGTTGCCAAAGTTGCTCAAAACATAGATGAAAAACAGCAACTCTTGCTGTAGATGTGAGTCGAAGGTCCCCCACAGGGTTTCTTGCTGAGTTTCTGGCTGATCAGCGGATCAGATGATGTTTGATTCTCCCGGTTCTTGAGTGAATCGGGTGAATCCCCTGACGGGAACAGGTTTGTTTCCCGGCTTCCTGGACAGCAGTCATCTAAAGCTTGCAACGCTTGAACGATCCTTGGAAGGCCACATTCCAAACAATAAATAGCTTAACTTTCAAAAGAGTGTTTCAAATGGAATTCACGTACCCTTTTAGTCCAACAAGACATGGTGGAAGGGTGGAAGTGGATGGCATCGAATACGTTTGATCCTGTTTCAGGCGGTTTTCTGCACGGTGCAAAGTGCAAACAGCAAAGTACAAGGGTCTTGGACATTGACTCATTGGTTTATTCTCAAGCCAGGGTTACATTTGGGTTTGTATTTTAAGGGGGGACCTCCCATGCTGTACCATTCCAAGAGTCTCACTAGAGCTCAGTAAACACGAAAGGAAAGGAAAAGAGGGACCTCCCAACCAATGGATTTAGTTTGTTTGTGTGATTTTCTCAGAGGTCCAACTGGGGCTCTCCCTATTCCAATACCCATTTGGGTGTCAAATTAGATTGGGTCGAATTCAGCCAAGAGTGAGACATTGCCTTCATTGCGTCTTCTATCAATGAGCACTACCATTACATAATATATGCAATTAATATAGTATAATATGTATAATATATACATCGATACATCCAGGCTCCTGATCACTGATACAGTGTTTCTTTAATGCCAGGCATGTGTTTTCCACATGCACCCGCAGGAGTGTTCCAGGCAGTCCGCTTGTCGTGGGAACACGCCCGAAGCGCCCCCTGCGGATCATTGGGGCGACCCAGGCCCCCAAGTCCATGCATAGAACTGCTACCTGGCAGCTAGGATCTTCAACATTCATACCACTTGAACATACTTGAAGTATTGCATGGAGCTGGAACATACGTGCCTCCAAAAGAGCATCTTTCTCTACAAACAGGTGGTTTTCACGCCACTTCCATGTGCATGACTGAAAAAACATAATGTAATCATGAGATGGATTACTCTCCGAGTGATTCACATGGACTGTTTGTAGAACAGAATGGTCTTCCAGGGGCGTATGTTTCGCTTCAATGATTATTTCAGGGAGTGCATGATGTTGCTTAAGGGTGTTTAATCCCCTGGCATGGGAAATAAGTGTTTGCTGTTTGCTTTTCCTGCTTCTTTAAGTGAATCCACTTTATTTCAGGGAGTGCCCATGGAGTATCAAGAGCCTTTTTCCAGGGCCCACAGCACCGAGCCAATTCTGGCTCACCCATGCCCGGGGCTCACCCGATCCGTCCCGTGATTTCCCTCGTGGAAACAGACCCATCGCTTGGGTCGTCCACGGATTCCTGTATTCAGCTGATCGGCTGAAGCAGGAAAGGCAGTGAAGAAATCTGTGCGCACCATGCGACATGTATAGTGCCATTGTCCAAATTCCTGAAGTCGATCCGTCCAAATTCCTCAGCAAATGGGTACACAACATTGTCCCTGTTTTTTTTGTTTTGGGTCATCGTACGTTTTGGGCGCGGACGAAGTCCGTTCCAGATTCCAGGTTCCAGGAGGTCCAATGCAGGACTTCTCACTCAGCTTAGGCTAGAGCTGGCCGGCGGCCTGCCACACCTTCCTGCCTTGGCTGCGGGAGCGCCACAAGGCACCATCAGGAGGTGCGTGCAGTTTGCGCGCCATTTGCAGTGGTTGGGTGCGGGTATCCCCATAGCTGTTTGTGACATCGGATAAAAGGCCGTGTATTGTGCATGGGATTTGTTTAGGGAAAAGGAATGCCGTTGATGTTGTTGTTGTTGTTGTTGTTGTTGGTGGTGGTGGTGGTGGTGGTGGTGGAAACAAGAACAGCCGCCCAACATAGTTGTCACATGTTGTAACTAAGTTGTAACTCTGAAACTTCAAGGGGACGTACTGCTACTATACTACAACTACTACGTTGGCGACGGCGACTAGTAGCACTAGTACCAGTACTAATACTATAGTGCTTCTAGTAACTAGTACCAGTACTGGCTTGTTGGTTTGGAAGGAGGATCAAAAAAGAACCGCCGGGCTGCAGTTGCTGTTTCTAGGAGCGGGTAATTCGAGGCAAAGTAAGAAGAGTCGGAGTTGTGTTGACGGGGCTGCAGTTGTTGTTTGTACCTTGTTGTTGTCCTTTGTGAGCGAGAGCACACTTTCAACGGGACATGTGAAGTAGTTGGGTACGACGTTTGGGGTGTAGGTCATTTCGAGTGATGATTAGTTTTCCCCTACTGTGGATGAATCCCTTTCCGTTGATCAATGTTTTTTCCAGTGTCCAAGGGTTGCAAATCCAAACCGATCGGTTTGAAGAAGTGCAGAGCGTCATCATTTGTAACGACTTCTCCGGGAAATCTTGATTTCTGCGTGTACCAAGAGAGGTTTTTCACTGCCCGTCTTGTCGCCCATCCCCTATGTACCACTGACCAGGGTCCTAGTCCTGGTTTCTCAACCTCTCTGTATTGGTATGGCTAACGGCAAACTGGGACTGACACTTCCATGCATGGCCTTGGAGATCGTCTCCAGCTCTGCCGTTCTTGGGCTGGAAGCCGAGCCGCAGGTCATTGAGCAAAGCTTTGCACTGGGACCACCACCCCCAACTCGCAGCCTTCCAAGCAAGGCACGAGGGCTGGGTCAAGTGGTGCAATCCCTTGACTCACCATTACCTTTTAAATTTGATCAGATCCTTGGTTTGGCTTGAGGTGAGGTGGTTTTTTCCGGTGAATCCACTGGTATGGTGAATATATGAAAATACATGTAATTTTGTAGTTTTCGGGCGTCCGAAATCAGCAAGTCGAATTGGTTTTCTGTCGAACTTTTCCCAATCTCCAAGACGGCGCCGTGAGTTTGTCGACGGCACTCCATGACAAAACCTGTTGACCCAGCTTCCTGACAGAGTCCTCCACTTGATACCAGCCAAAGTGAACCTGATTGAGGCTTTATTTGAGATTCCAGTCTAGAATCTGGAATCAGAGACATTACGAAAGCCAGCCTTCGTAGAAGGCGCCAGCTGAGTTGTGTTTGGGAAACGAAGTGAGAAGTAGGGGGTCCGAGAAAGCACTACGTAAACTCGAAAATGGGGGGTGGAGAGGGGTGTGGGGAAGTATGGTTTTTGAGGTTGTGTTGGAGGTGAGTTTTTTGTGATTTCGAGGGGGTGGTGATGCAAGAAATGCAATGTGAATCATTTGCATCATCTGAATGGTAAGGTGTAACTGGCGCCTTGCCAGGTATAGATACCCAGGGTAGCTACAATTCAGTTGCCAGGTATCGCGCATCAATTTTCCTACCCTGGGTCCGCGCCTGGGAACAAAATTGTAGCTACCCTGGGTCCGCATAAATGTTATGTTGCTATACCTCTTACACACATATATAAGTTCAAAGCACGAATGAAACTTCAAAGCTGTGGATTGCTGTGCGTGTGTGAAGGTTATCGAGCGGTTGACGGAAAGGGAACTTGAAGTACTATACCTGGTAACTGAATTGTAGCTACCCTGGGTATCTATACAAGGGGGTTTCGGGGGGGTGGCCTGAGAAAGCACACTCGAAAGTAGGTGGTGTGTAGGGGTGCACGGAAGCAAGGTTTTGGAGGTGTTTTTGTGACTTTAAGAAATGCTACAGTATTGTCTTCGGTTGCTTGAAGTGCTGTACTTGGCAACTGAATTGTAGCTAATTACCCTGGGTACACCCGAACCTTGTTTCACCAACATCTGTGTTCGTTGACAAAAAAACGCTGGCGTCCGTTTTGCAGTTTCTCAGGTTTGTCTCTTTGGGGTTTTGGTCTGTGGGTCAGTGACTGGAAGAGTGGATCGCCTGCAACCCATCCTTTAGCCCTTTTTGGGGATTGGGGACCGAAGATCAACAGGTGGACAGGTTGGTTCAACTCTACAGTTCAAGGGAAACGGCTCCACGGCCTCAGGGAAATGTGAACGGCCACGGGCAGGTCTACACTCCAAAGTCAGTCATCTAGCAGGTGAACCGATCTTGGACACACGACCCACGGTTCAGCAACCCCCCAAAACCTGGTTTTGCTTAAGGTGAATGTGCGTCAATACCCTTCTGGGGTGTATGTGTTGTTTTTTTTCTCAGATTCCTTGATCACATGAGCAAATCCCAGAAAATCCACGACACTTCAGATCTTGTTGGCTCATTTCGGTGGTCCAGGATGCTGGCGGCCGCGCAGAACTGGACCGGAGAAGACCGTTTGGATCCGTCCGTCCTGGCCATTGGAGAGCCGATGAACCTGGCGGCGTATTTGAATCCAGGTGGGGGACCTGAAAAAGGGGGAGCCAAGAGAGGTTGAGAGACCAGGACCCCTTGGTCTGTGGTACGGATGGGCGACAAGACGGGCTGTGAGTTCAACCTCTTTTGGAGGTGGGGGACCTGGCCTAATGCCCGGAGTCCACACCGTCCGGACCTAGAAAGGTCGGGGGTGGATGGAGAGCACGAGGACGGAGGGAGTGAACGACGACGGAGTCCCGGAAGTGGGTTCTAAAGACTGAAAGTCCCAAGACCGAACGAAGCCAGGACGTCCTTAAGTTAAGTTAACCGGGCCAACTCGAGTAAAATGAGGTCCTTAATTGACCTCCCTATTTGGGACAGCAGGGGGCAGGGGTTCTTGAGGGCTTTACAGAAGGCTTGCTTCGTGGATAGCGGGTTCATCACCACGGAAGGCTTGCGGTGCATACGCGGTTCCATTCTCCTCCGTGTTCTCCTTCCCCGGATGACCCCCGACTCACCGGTCGAAGGCTCCGGGCATGACGTCCCTCAAGTGTGCATAGGCAAGTGGGCAAGCCTTATATATTTATATCTTGGACACTGCCCCGGCCCACTAACAGTGAGCACAAAGATGGGCACCACCAAGCGCACGAGAAAATTGGACCCCAAAAGCGGGTTTCTAAATTTGAAAAGTCATCTACCTAAACTGAATAGTCCCATTATATGTTGGCAGCACCTTTTTCTCCTTCATACCTTTGCCACTGGTCCACTGCTTTGGTGCTCTACACGGCACACTCTTGTGCCCAAGCCAACAAAGCCTTGCAAGGCTGCGCGCCCTGGTCTTCTCCAAGCCTTTCTTGAACCTGGGTTGGGGCTGGCTTGCTCTGGGGAGGTCCGCTAGCAAAGTAAATGTCCGGCTAGGGCTGGGCCTGGGGCTGGCTGGGCTGGGCTGGCTTGCTCTGGGGAGGTCCACTAGCAAAGTAAATGTCCCCCTACGGCTGGGCCTGGCACTGGCTGGGCTGGGGCTGGCTGGGCCGGGGCTGGCTTGCTCTGGCGCCTGGGGCTGGCGGCTGGGGCCAACTAGAGTAAATGTCCGGGGCTGGCCGGTCAAATTTTGGCTCCGGAGTTGTGCTTTTCTGGTGCTCCTCCAGGCTCCGGAGTTGTGCTTTTCCGGCGCCAAAAAGCACGAGAAAAAGCACGAGAAAAGGCACGAGAAAAGGCACCAAAAAAGCACGAGAAAAGGCACCAAAAAAGCACGAGAAAAGGCACCAAAAAAGCACGAAAAAAGCACGAGAAAAAGCACGGGAAAAGCACGAGAAAAAGCACGGGAAAAGCACCAAAAAAGCACGAGAAAAGGCACCAAAAAAGCACGAGAAAAGGCACCAAAAAAGCACGAGAAAGGGCACCAAAAAAGCACGAAAAAAACACGGGAAAAGCACCAAAAAAGCACGAGAAAAAGCAGATCAGGATCGGGCTTCCCAAGCTTGTATTTGAACAAAGGCACGGGAAAGCACGAGAAAAGGCACCAAAAAAGCACGAGAAAAGGCACCAAAAAAGCACGAGAAAAAGCACGAGAAAAGGCACAAAAAAGCACGAGAAAAGGCACCAAAAAAGCACGAAAAAAACACGAGAATAGGCACCAAAAAAGCACGAGAAAAGGCACCCAAAAAGCACGAAAAAAGCACGAGAAAAGGCACGAGAAAAAGCACGGGAAAAGCACCAAAAAAGCACGAGAAAAGGCACCAAAAAAGCACGAAAAAAGCACGAGAAAAGGCACCAAAAAAGCACGAGAAAAGGCACCA